CATCTGTGGCTCTTGTTCCCCTTCCCTGGAGGTAGAGTTAGAGAAGATAATGATTTATTTGAGATGATGTTAGTCCCACTCTGAAGGAGAATGGATGGTGGTTTCTTATTGTGGCTTTAAGGCCCATCTGCTGATGGGTGTGATTCATTAGACAAAAATACTGTGTGCATGGTATTTGTAGAGTAATAGAAGAGAGAAGAATGAGAGACTATTTTTGTTCTCCAGGGAAAAGGAGCACGATGAGAGCTGTATGGAATTGTCACCGCCAAAGATGCAAACCAAGGAAAACCACCCCCATATTCTGTGTGCAGGTGGTACATCCCCCTAGCTAGTTAAGCACTGAACTGTCTTTGGCTTCCTATGACCATTTGGCCTGTATATGTGGCTCTGGTATCCAGGACCTAATCTGCCTGCAGAGTTTAAGCATTGCTCTCTGGCCTAATCGCTCATGATGCACCTTGCATAGCATTTATCCTGCAGTATCACTACTTCCTGCCTTCTCTCTCTCTCTCTCTCTCTCTCTCTCTCTCTCTCTCTCTCTCTTACTGACAGCAAAACTGACATGATCAGAGGACACAGAGAGGCTAGCACTGTTTTACTGAGGCTCACACTACAAAGGAGAGCTGCAAATTTCTGATCCGTCTGGTGACAGAGCTGTGGCCCCATGTGTTCTGTTGACCTTGTGTGTATGCATGTGCGTGCACACCTGTAGATACTCCTGCCTGGAGTAGGTGAGGCAGACATTATAAGGAGTGGGAGAATAAAGAATAAGAAAGGTTGAAAGTGCTTATTCTGGGTCGATGCCATAGCTCACTTGGTTAATCCTCCGCCTGCAGTGCCAGCATCCCATATGGGCGCCTGGTTCTAGTCCCGGTTGCTCCTCTTCCATTCCAGCTGTCTGCCGTGGCCCGGGAGGGCAGTAGAGGATGGCCCAAGTGCTTGGGCTCCTGCACCTGTGTGGTAGACCAGGAAGAAGCGCCTGGCTCCTGGCTTCAGATCGGTGCAGCACCAGCCGTAAGGGCCATTTGGGGAGTGAACCAACGGAAGGAAGACCTTTCTCTGTCTCTCCCTCTCACTGTCTATATCTCTACCTGTCAAATAAAAAAAAAGAAAGAAAGAAAATGCTTATTCTGCCTGCAGATTGCTAGGAATAGAACTGACTAATACAGCAAGACTAACTAGGTCTTGCTGTTCCCTGGATTATGAACAAGGGTATGTGTCAACACCCCTTCTTTGTTTATGAACTCCTTTCTCCAAGTTATAGTTCCTCCTGATAAAGGTGGCCTTCAAAATGAAACACGTGTCAAGTTAGAGGATTGGAGCATTTCCTCTTTTACCTACAATGTTGCTTATCCTGGAACAATCTGGGTAAACGTGTGATGTGTTAATAGTTGTTCAGCTTGGGCCAGTACCGTGGCTAAATAGGTTACTCCTCCGCCTGCGGCGCCGGGACCCCGGGTTCTAGTCCTGGTTGGGGTGCTGGATTCTGTCCAGGTTGCTCCTCTTCCAGTCCAGCTCTCTGCTGTGGCCCGGGAAGGCAGTGGAGGATGGCCCAGGTCCTTGGGCCTTGCACCCGCATGGGAGACCGGGAGGAAGCACCTGGCTCCTGGCTTCGGATCAGTGCGGTGCGCCGGCCACAGCAGCCATTGCGGGGTGAACCAACGGAAAAAGGAAGACCTTTCTCTCTGTCTCTCTCCCTTTCACTGTCCACTGTGCCTGTCCAAAAAAAAAAAATAGTTGTTCAGCTGGAACCTACAGCAGTACCTAGCACATAGTTAGCATTATGGGAATATGTGCTCCTGGGATTTGTATTCCATCCTGGATTTATTCCTCCCCTTGAATTTGGCCTTGGGAGTCCCAGGGTGAATCAGATATAGATCCTGCCCTTGAAAAAATAAGATGAGTAACTCCATAACTACATGCGGTAAAGAAAATGACACCTGCTCCAGAAATATCTAGGGGGGCCTTTGGGGCAAGTGGCTACAATGGAGGACTTTGGAGGGATTGAGGGGAGGGCCAGCAGGTGAGAAAGGCTTCCTGGAGGAGGTGATCTATGGAGGTGCCTCTTGGAGGGTGGGAAAAGCTCACATGTTTATCGGGGGTAGGGGTAGGGGACAAAGTGCCTTCTGGGTGCAGTGAATTACTGGTATGAACAGTAGTAGGCAAGAGCACTTCTGGAGAGACAGCATCTCGTTTGCTTTGCCTGTCGAAGGCTGTGTGTTCACTGGAACATGTGTCTTTTTTTATTTAATTTTTTTTATTTTTTGACAGGCAGAGTGGACAGTGAGAGAGAGAGAGAGAGAGAGGTCTTCCTTTGCTGTTGGTTCACCCTCCAATGGCCGCTGCGGCCGGCACACTGCGGCCGGCGCATGGCGCTGATCCGAAGCCAGGAGCCAGGTGCTTCTCCTGGTCTCCCATGGGGTGCAGGGCCCAAGTACTTGGGCCATCCTCCACTGCACTCCCTGGCCACAGCAGAGAGCTGGCCTGGAAGAGGGGCAACTGGGACAGAATCCGGCGCCCCAGCCGGGACTAGAACCCGGTGTGCCGGCGCCGCAAGGCGGAGGATTAGCCTAGTGAGCCACGGCGCCGTCCTGGAACATGTGTCTTAAGTCATCTTCTGAGTCCCTGCCCCATGTTTTTCATTACTTTACACCAACCCGTTAACTTCTAAGATTGTCCTTAGGAGGCGCGGCTACTGAATGGGTCAGAGTGGCTTAGTAATTATAGCTGCTGCAGAACGTACGATCTCTGTTCTTGTAATTACTGAAGTTTTTGTTTTTATAAGCTGATTGCCCCTCTTCTAGAACGTGCTTAATAGAATGCAGATGGGGCCAGGAAGCATGTAAATCTGGGAACATGTTTTCCTTGGCATGTGATAATAAATCACCCGCACATCCTGACCTGTGGCAGCTTTGTTCGTCTCCAGAGGCCTACATTCAATCTACTCGAAATAGATTGGGACCACCGTATCCTTTCAAGCTTACTGAGAGTTGGGGGAAAGATTGACATGTTGGGTTTTACATTAGCTTTTGTGATGACACCACAGTGTCACGATTTCTCTTGTCTTTCTGTCGGCTACACAAGGTAACTTGCCCTGCCGTTGGCTCTTGAGTGTATCCACCTAACAGATGAGTATGCCCCTGCAGGAGAGCAAGGAAGGAGCACTGGCAGGGAGTTCTTTGCGCACTGGAGATGAGTTTGTGGCAAGTCCCTCCCCCTTTTTGTGTCTCAGTCAACTCATCCATCTAGAGGGCTTGTCACTATATTCTATAGAGAAAGCTCATATTTTGTAATTTTTTTGCATGTTTATTGTATATTTTAAGGTTTTAAAGGTATTTAAAGACATCAAGTTTTAAGTTAATAAGGACTGATTCATAAAATAAGATTGTCTTACTCAGGAGTAGACTATTTTGTGTATTTTTTTTTTTAAAAAGTCTAAGTTGAAATAATCATCCAACAATGAGGGTTCATATACATGGAAATCTATAGCATAAAAAACTGCATAGGACTTATAAGCCCACTTGTAAGTAGCTATAAAGCCCAGAACAATCAAAGACACATGGCATATGTGTTCAATAAATATTTCTCGAATGAATGAAATGCTGTTTCTTTGTGGAGGGACAGCTGATTAAATTAAATCGAGATTAAACACAGCTAAAGGTTATGAAATGAATATCTATGCTTGGGATTTTGAGTTTCTGTAAATCTTCTTATGAGTTTTATACAATATTTTAAAATAGTACCTACTGAAGTACATACTATGCTTGCCTGCTTAATGAAGCCGTATTATGTATACTGTTTCCTGAGACACTTAACTATGCCACAGTCTCTTATTTGGATGGTAAAACCAAAGCCAGCATGTTCCAGGCCCTCTGATGACTGCTTATCTGAGCTGAAGATGAGTACAGAGGAAGGAATAGCTGTAACATTCAATCTTTTTTTTTTAAGATTTATTTATTTATTTGAAAATCAGAGTTACAGAGAGAGGGAGGAACAGATAGAGAGATCTTCCATCCACTGGTTCACTCCCCATATGGCTGCAACAGCCAGGGCTGAGCCAGGCTGAAGCCAGGAGCCAGGAGCTTCTTCTGGGTCTCCCATATGTGTGGCAGGGGCCCAATTACGTAGTCCATCCTCCACCACCTTCCCAAGCCATCCTCCGCCACTTCCAAGCAGGGAGCTGGGTGAGAAGCAGAGCAGCTGGGACACTAATCAGTGCCCACATAGGAAGCAGGTGTCAAGCAGTGGCTCTGACTGCTGTGCCACGACACTGGTTCTCATGTTCCATCTTCTAAATCAAAGCCAGTGATGTGTCCTTCTCCATGGTGTCCAGCAAAAGTGCAGAGTCCTCAGTGTCAGACATACCTCAGATGTAGGTGGAAAACCCCCTGGAAAAGCATGAAGAGCTTTCTGAGCAGGCTTGCTGGTGGCTTTGTTCTAGTAGACGTCTCAGCATCTCTTCTCCTTTGTTTCTGGTATTCCTGTAGCTCATGGAAACACAAAGGCAAGGAATGGGTCTTTCAAGGTTTACAGACATTGTGGATTTTGCCTGCAAGTGTCACATATGTTAGGAAAAGTGCAGAATAGAGAGGAGGCAGTATATGAATTTACAGCCAGACCAGATTTATTCAGAGAAAATAAATTTGCAGAGGTGGGTGACCAACTGCAGGTATGGACATGATGGACCATGTGGCAGAAGGCCCAGACTCTAGGGGCCGAACCTTCTTATATTTTAGGAGGGCTAGGGATGGGAGTGGGGTAAGGGGCAGCAGGTGGAGAGGAATTCCTAGAACTGATCTTTCAGATGTTCCAGCAGCTGGTCTTTCTGGTGGCCGTGGAGGGTGGGGTATGAAGGCAATAGGGTATGAGACCCAGTTGAGATTCAAGGGCCAGGAGTAAATTCCAATGTTTATCTTTTGGGCAATGAACGAGAATGGCTGAAGCTTATGTCTTTGTTCCATCAACGCCTACAGGCTCTGGTTCTGTGTTTGCTCTTTCAGCTCTATGTGGCCACGGAAGCCATTCTCATCGCGCTTGTGGGCGCCACACCATCATACCACTGGGACCTGGCCGAGCTCCTGCCCAACCAGAGCCACGGCAACCAGTCGGCTGGTGGAGACCAGGCCTTCGGGGACTGGCTGCTGACCGCCAACGGCAGCGAGATCCACAGACACGTGCATTTCAGCAGCAGCTTCACCTCCATCGCCTCCGAGGTAACCGCAGGCCAGGTCGATCGCCAGATCATGCTTCGCCCCCAGATGTCACAGCCGTGTTGTCCTGGGCTGTAAACTCCAGCCACATTTTCAGATGACTTTCCGGCATATTTAAGCATTGAAGGTTTTAATTACCACAGGAGAATGGCCTGTGAAAACACATTCTTCTTCCTTCTCACTACAACATGAGAGAAATTTGAATCTTAAAAACCTGTAAGATGATATAAGAGACAAACTCTAATAGTAATGAACCACATTTTATGGTAATGTCCTCAAAAAATGAATTTAAACTTTCATTATCTCTATTACATGCGCAAACATTTAACTAAAAAGAGAGAAATATAATGGCCCTTCTAACATTCTTGGTTTATTTTAAAGACTAGTCCTGTGTGTGAAGGCCCAGGGGCACCACGTAGTGTGGGCAGAAAGCCTTCCTTTCAAGGGGGGAGATTCAGCTGAAGGGAAGGCTCAGCCAGGTCAGAAAGACCAGCCAGAGGTGAAGCTGAGGGTGATGTGGTGGTGAGGAGCAGTCTGGGGAGAGGAGGGAGGGGTTGGTCCTAGCTGGAAAGCACTGTCCCCTTTGCTTGTTCCCTACTAGCTACCCCAGTGCTTGTTGCTCCCCTGGCCCTGCCCGTGGTCTCATGACCCAGTTTATAGGGTGCATGCCTGGTGTAGCAGGGGACCTTGCTGGCTCACAGTTCTGATGGCCGTCGGGCTTGGTCACCCCGTCCTTTGCCCACTGCCCTGTACGGACACCACAGTGTGGGCCTGGGGTCCATCCCCCCTTCTCTCTGTGAGAGTGCATGTCTGTGTGTCTGTGTATGGCATCTGCATCATGTGGCAGCCAGCCTTGCCTGTAGGTGGGAGCTTTGATTGCCACCTTGTGGGTGGGGCATACGAAATCAGAAGAGACTTGCTCGAGGGATGTTTGCTTGACCTTTCCTTGGGAGTCCCCCGTCAGAAGGGATAATCACTAGATTACCTTTATGCCAAAGCAGCAGTTCCAACGCCAACCTGGTCATGTCACTCCTCACTTAGAAGCTCACTACAGGGATTCTCCCAATGCACACAGACACAGGAGAGCACCCACGTGTGACATGCAGGGTGCATAGCCCTTCGCTTTTTTATTTTAAAAAATTATTTATTTATTTATTTGAGAGGTAGAGTTATAGACAGAGAGGGAGAGACAGAGAGAAAGGTCTTTCATCCACTGGTTCACTTCCCAAATGGCCAGCTGGGCCGTTCCAAAACCAGCAGCCAGGAGCTTCTCGAACCACGTGGGTGCAGGGGCCCAAGCACTTGGGCCATCTTCTGCTGTTTTCCCAGGCCATAGAAGAGAGCTGGATCTGAAGAGGAGCGGCTAGAACTTGAATCAGCACCCATATGGGATGGTGGCACTGCAGGGGAGGCTTAGCCTACTGTGCCATAGTGCCGGCCCCAGCCCTTCATGTTTTACCCCTGGATCCTGCTGTCTTTTCCAGTCCTGTTCTGCACTGCCCTCTTCCTCCCACTTCCTGGACATATTTCCTGTCTCCCATGTGTGCCCTGGAACTCAGCCACTGTTACTTCCCTTACCCAGCTGCCACCTGGGGAACTCCTGATCTGTCCCCTGAGACTCACTTTCAGTGCCACCTTCCCGGCTCACCCCCAGGAGTGGCACGCTTTATTTCTGTTCCCATTGCAGACTGCTGTTTTGGGTTGAACTCTAGTTTTGAGAAGCTCTTTAGGTCATAAGTTGTGTTTTGGTCAGCTTTGCGTCTATGGCCTACAAAGAACAGCAGCACTGCCAGTGCTCACCTGTTACAATAACCAGAATGATTCTGGGTATTTGTGAAATTTTATAGCCCTAATCTCATTTAATGCTCCAGATAATTCTCTCAGCTAAGCATTATTTTCTCCATTGTGCAGATGAAGAAATTGAGAGTCTTTGAGGTCAGGGACTCAGTAAGGACAGAGCTGGGACTTTAACTCAAATTTGTCCTAACTCTGAAACTTGTGCTCTTAATTATTGCAGTTTTTTGGAACCTGCCTAATCTAAATTGGTATGAAAATCTCTTAGGTTGTTTTTGATAGGTAACGGTAGGAAATGAATTTAATTTTTTTTAATTTGGAAATAATTTCAAATAGAAATTTCAAGAAAAGGACAAAGAATGCCTATCTCTTGTGAATATTTTGCTGCATTCATGTTATTGATTTCTCTATTCTTTCTCTCTCTCTCTCTCTTTTTTTTAAGATTTATTTATTTGAAGGCAGAGTTACAGAGAGGCAGATATATAGAGAGAGGTCTTCCATTTGTTTGTTTGCTCCCCAGATGGCCACAATGGCCAGAGCTATGCCGATCTGAAGCCAGGAGCCAGGAGCTTCTTTTGGGTCTCCCACACAGGTGCAGGGGCCTAAGGACTTGGGCCATCTTCTGCTGCTTTCCCAGGCCATAGTAGAGAGCTGGATCAGAAGAGGAGCAGCCAGGGCTAGAACTGGCACCTATATGGGATGCTGGCATTGCAGGCGGCAGCTTTACCTGCTACACGACAGCACCAGCCCCCAGCTATTACATTTTAGACATTGACACTTTGTAAAGACACCTGAGAAAGGTATTTGTACTAGTGATTAAGATGTCAGTTGAGATATCTGGAGTCAAGAATTAAACCCAAGCATTGCAATATAGGACACAGGTGCTGGCTCAAGTAGTTGGGTCTCTGCCATCCACATGGGAGACCTTGGTGGAGTTCTCTACTCCTGCCTTCAGCTTGGCCCAGTCCTGGCTGTATAGGTAATTGGGGTGTGAACCAGTGGATGGACATTCTCTCTCTCTCTCTTTTTTTTTTTTTTGAGCACTTTAAGAAATTTTGGCCTAAGAAGGTTTTCCAGTTTTATCTTAAACCTCTCTGTACCAACCACTGAATTAGTCATTTCTTTGAGAAAACCTGGTCTCATATAGTTCCCCCTTAGAGTTTTGAAATGAGTGAGAGCTATAGGTCTGTTCTCCAGTAAACACGTTACTACATTATAATGAAAGTGAATCTTAGGCCAAGTTGTGGCACAATAAGCATTTATTAACTAAATTTTCAAATAGATTTATTGTTTGTTTGAAAGGCAGAGCGTCAGAGAGAGACAGAGAGGGATAGAGAGATCTTCCATCCTTTGGTTCACTCCTCGTATGGCTTCAATAGGCAGATCTGGGCCAGGCCAGAGCTGGAAGCCTGAAACTCCATCCTGGTCTCCCACAAGCCCCACCTCCTTGGACCATCTTTTGCTGCCTTTTGCAGGGAGCTGGATCAAAACAGAGCAGCTGGGACTCACACTGGCACTCTGATAAAGGATTCTGGTGTCACTAGTGGCAGTTTAGCACACTGCACCACAGCATCAGCCCCTGGTAACTAAAAATTTTCATATCAGAAAAGCTCATGGGAAACTGTGTTTCAGGCTTGAATCTTTGCTCTCTGATTCACTAGGTGTTCTAAACATTGCTTCCATGTCAGGTGACTAGATGGAAACCCCACTTTCCATAAGCAAGGTGCTAATATCACACCCCTACCTTCCTCCCCAAACTGGCATCAGGCGGACAAACTCCTTGAGTTCATTGTGGCTTAGGAGCAAGGAGGAGTTTTAGCCTAGGGGTTTACCACATTGGACTGTCTCACAAATTCATGCAAGGGTAAAGAAAGTCTCTAAAATGTACTGAGCTAATCCTGAATCTTGAATGCCTTTATGTCACCAGCGAGAGCCTATCATTGCCATTCATGATTGGTAGTCACCACACCACTGTTCTAGTCAGGAATAAGCAAAGTACTTTTTGTCAATAAAGACAAGGATGACAGCAGGCTTGTAGCAGCTCCCTGTGGAGAAGGGGCTGTCTGAAGAGAATGCAGCTGGGCTGGCACTGGACAATGCAGCCTTGATGAGATTGCTTGCCGTACCAGGCTGTTTATGCAGAATATCCCACTGCGTGTGCTGAGTGCTTTAAAGTGAGTGAGATCGCTGAGAAGCAGTGTCCATCCAGTGTGGCAGGCACTCAACACATTGTAACAGAATCAGATGAAATTAATACTAATGAAACCATAGTTAGGAGTCCTTTCAGATATTAAGAGAGGGCTGCTGCCCAGGAGGCTTGGTGTAAGGAGGAAGAGCCATAGACCTTGTGTCTCAGACCAGCAGGGACTGGGACTCCCTGGTCCCCAGTATTTCTCCCGGGCTGATACCCAGGAGGTTCTCAGTAAGCATTGCTGGGCTGGAGGCACAGGAGGGAGGGAAGGGCAAGTTAGCCTAGGAGAGCCCAGGAGCTGCTGCTTCCAGGGTAGAGTTGGCAGATTCAGGAGAAATGGGATTAAGCAAACTCCCCACCTCTGCTGAAGATCTTTAAAGCAGCTCTGGGAAGGAAAGAATAAAGTCTCAGATGGCCCTCACTATGTGCGGTGGTAGCTACACGTTTTTCTTATTATTCGTGTTGTAGTCCTCTGGGGTGTACCTGTGAGTGTTGTCTCTCTGGCCAATCTGTCTTTGTCAGTCTCTCTCTTTGGCTCATCTCACCCCCATGCCCCTCTCTTTATTTATTTCCCTCTCTGCCTCTTGGCAGTCTTTGTTTTTGTCTGTGTCTGTCAACCCCCATCTCTCCCATCTCAGTCTCTCTCAGGATGTATTCACCTGCATGTTTCTTCTAGGGTTAGTCTTGCTGATTCTGTTTTGCCTTTCTCCCTCTCTGACATCTGTGTCTCTGTCTCTTGCCCTCTCTCCTTCCCTTCTTCCTGTGTTACTGGTGTACCTTTCCCACTCCTGCCTGTGTGTGTGCACTGAACCACACAGACCTGCATGTGTGTGACATGACCCATCTTCATGTGGATGTGTAATTAGAGGTTTATAATTACCTGGCATTTTCTTCCTGGGGTGTAGAGACACAGGCTACAGTCCCCCTCCTATCTGGGTGACAATTATCCATCCTCAGGTGCATTTTCAAGTCCATGTTTCTCTGCTCAGGATGCAAGTTACCTGGAAATGAAATTAAA